GTGGCTTATAATTTTCTTCTTTCATTGCCACGGAAACACTGGATTTGAGTGATTTTCCTGAATTGGTCAAACAGGATTTGTGTATTTAAAATTTCAGGTCAGGAGCATCTTCAGGGTCTTCAGGCAAAGGCTGCCTTGGAGTTTAGGGGAAGGGAGGAGAAGTACTTGAAGGCCCTCATGTACTTGGAATCATATGGTTTATAGCTTTGTCAGATTGGTTTCTTTCACATAGCAATACACTTTTATGCTTTCTGTCATGTGTTTTCATAGCTTGATACTTCATTTCTTTTTACTGTGAACTGTATTTGATCTTATGGATGGATTTAACACTGATTGTTTGAGTCAGGTTTGTTGCTTACCTGTTAACTAATGGAAGTTGTGAATTAAATCCATACAAGTATTTGTATGAGTTTTGCGTGACTACAAGAGTTGCCCTCATTTGGACAAATAACACAGAGTGGTATTGCTGGGTCTTAATATACATTTGTTATTGTTATTCAGTCACTAAGTTCGACTCTTTGTGACCCCTTGGATTGCAGCTTGCCAGACTTCCCTGTCCTTTACTATCTCCCAGAGTAGTCTCGAGCTCATGTCTGTTGAGTCAATGATGCTATCCAACCATCTCATCCTTTGTTGCCCCCATTTCCTCCTGCCCTCAATGTTTTGCAACATCAGGGTCTTTTCCAGTGAGTCTGATCTTCCCATCAGGTGGCCAGAGTCCTGGAGCTTCAGCTTTAGCATCAATCCATCCAATGATTATTCAGGGTTGATTTTCTTTAGGAATGACTGGTTTGATTTTCTTGCTGTCCAAGGGACTCTCAAGAGTTTCTCCAGCAGAATCCAAAAGCATCAATTCTTTGGCGCTCAGCCTTCTTTATGTCCAGCTCTCACATCCGAACATGACTACTGGAAAAACCACAGCTTTGACTATATGGACCTTTGTCAGCAAAGTAATGTCTCTGCTTTTTAGTATGCTGTCTAGGTTTGTCATAACTTTCCTTCCAAGGAGCAAGCATCTTTTAATTTCATGGCTGCAGTCACCATCCACAGTGATTTTTGAGCCCAAGAAAATAGAGTCTGTCACTGCTTCCACTCTTTCTCCTTATATTTGCGATGAAGTGATGGGACCAGATGCCATGATCTTAGTTTTTTGATTGTTGAGTTTTAAGCCAGCTTTTCACTCTCCTCTTTCACCCTCATCAAGAAGCTCTTTAGTTCCTCTTCACTTTCTGCCATTAGAGTGCTATTATCTGCATATCTGAGGTTGTTGATATAATATTTCTCCCAGCAGTCTTGATTCCAGTTTGTAATTCATCCAGTCCAACACTTTTCATGATGTACTCTGCATNCGAACTGAGATCATTCTGCCATTTTTGAGTCTGCACCCAAGTACTGCATTTCGGACTCTTTTGTTAACTATAAGGGCCAATCCATTTCTTCTAAGTGATTCTTGCCCACAGTAGTACATATAATGGTCATCTGAATTAAAGTTACCCATTCCCATCCATTTTAGTTCGCTGATTCCTAAAACATCAATGTTGACTCTTTCCATCTCCTACCTAACCTTGTCCAATTTACCTAACAATCTAGGTTCCCATGCAACATTGTTCTTTACAGCATCAGACTTTATGTTTACCACCAGACACATCCACAATTGGGCATCATTTCTGCTCTGGCCCAGCCTCTTCATTCTTTCTGGACCTATTTCTCTTCTCTTCCCTAACAGCATATTGGATGGACACCTACCGACCTGGGGGGCTATAGCCTGTTGGGCTACAGTCCATGGGGTCATGAAGAGTCAGACAGGACCCAGTGTCTGAACAACAGCAGCAGCAGCAGTGAATGAAGATGATCTTCACCTCTATATGGTGTTCTGAGTGTTTTGCTTTTCAGTCTTTAAATAATTGTGTGGTGTTAGCTCTTTGTTTTCTTTGCAATTTCCCATTGACATTTGATGTTTAGCATGTTTTCATATTTCCAGTTTCCCTCTGCCTATCATTTTTGGTCAATGGTTCTTTGAGATCTTTTGCCCATTGTTAATTGGATTGTCTTCCTACTGTTGGGTTTTAATAGTTCTTGGCTATTTTGAATACCAGTCATTTATTCATATCTTTGTGAGTCTGTTTCTATTTTGAAAATAAGTTTATTTGTGATATACTTGAGATACCACATGTAAGTCAGTGACCATACAGTATTTGTCTTTCTCAGAGTAACTTACCTCACTTAGTATGAATAGTTGTAGGTCTATCTATTTTGCTGAAATAATGCAAATGGCATTATTTCAATTTTTATGGCTGAGTAATATTCCATTGTGTATCTGTACTACATCTTTTTCCATTTATTTGTTGATGGACGTGTAGGTTGTTTCCAAGTCTTGGCTCTTGTAAACAGTGCTACTATGAACACTGGGTGCCTGTATCATTTCAAATTAGAGTTCTCTCTGGATACATACCCAGGAGTAAGATTGCTGGATCATATCGCAAGTCTAGTTGGTTGGGGAATATTCACACTGCTTTCTAAAGTGGACACGCCACTTTTCATTCCTACAAAGCTAGTGGAGGTAATGGAATTCCAGCTGAACTATTTCAAATCCTAGAAGATGATGCTGTTAAAGTGCTGCATTCAGTATGCCTGCAAATTTGGAAAATTCAGCAGGGGCCACAGGACTGGAAAAGGTCAGTTTTCATTCCAGTCCCAAAGAAAGGCAATGCCAAAGAATGTTCAATCTACTGTATAGTTGCACTCATTTCATATGCTAGCAAGGTACTGCTCCAAATCCTTCAAGCTAGGCTTCAACAGTACCTGAACCAAGAACTCTTCCAGATGTACAAGTAGGATTTTTGAACCAGAGATCAAATTGACAACATGCGTTGGATCATAGGAAGAGTATGGGAAATTCAAAAAATATCTACTTCTACTTCATTAACTACATGAAAACATTTGACTGTGTAGATCATAACAAACTGAAAAATTCTTAAAGAGTTAGGAATACCAGATCACAAGATAGGTAACTATCTTGTGAGAAACCCGAATGCAGGACAAGAAGCCACAATTAGAATCAGACATGGAACAACAGACTGGTTCAAAATTGGGAAAGGAGTGCTCGCTTTGGCAGCACATATACTAAAATTGGAACAATACAGAGAAGATTAGCATGGCCCTTGTGCAAGGATGACACGCAAATTCGTGAAGCATTCCATATTAAAAAAAAATTGGGAAAGGAGTATGTCAAGGCTGTACTGTCAAGAGAAGTCTGACATGCTGCAGTTCATGGGGTTGCAAAGAATTGGACACATCTTGGTGACTGAACAACAAAAATAGCAAAAACAATTGGAGTACAGTTGATTTACAGTGTTATGTTAGTTTCAAATGTACACAGCAAAGTGAGTAAGTTATACATGTATACTTCTCTTTAGATTCTTTTCTCATGTAGGTCACTACTTACTGGTGAATTTAACAGGTCTTTCAAAGTTGGTATACTAGTGACAAATTTCTTCCATTTTTGTCTCAGCTGCTACATCGCTTCAGTCGTGTCTGACTCTGTGAGACCCCATAGATGGCAGAATGGCCTTATTTTTTCTTAAGTTTTAAGGATCATTACACTTGCTATTAAAAATTAAGAAAAAATGAGGCCATTCTGAGACAAAAATGGAAGGAATTTATATGCTTGGTATTAGGGCTTCCTTGGTAGCTCAGCTGGTAAAGAATCCGCAGATCCCCTGGAGAAGGAATAGGCTACACACTCCAGTATTCTTGGGCTTCCCTGGTGGCTCAGAGGGTAAGGAATTTGCCTGCAATGCAAGAGACATGGGTTCAATCCCTGGATTGGGAAGATCTCCTTAAGGAGGGCATGGCAACCCACTTTAGTATTCTTGCCTGGAGAATCCCCTTGGACAGAGGAACCTGGCAGGCTATAGTCCATAGGGCTGCAAAGAGTCGAACACAACTGAGCGACTAAGCACACATGCTCACTATTAATATAAAGTTCTAGGAAAGTTGTTTCTTTTTAATTTCAAAACTTTAAGTATTTTAGACCATTTGGTATTTCTATCTCTGTTTTCTGTCATTTATTTTCATTGTATATACTTGAAATTTCCTGTTAAAGAAGGTCATGCCAGGATTCATGGATTTTGTTGTGTTTTTTTTGTCATGTTAGACTCTGGTGAAACAGAGTGTTTTTGGTACAGGAGTTAAGAACATCATATTTCAGGCTTGGTGTTTTTTTTTTTTTTTTTTTTTTTTTTTGGAGGCTAATTACTTTACAGTATTGTGGTGGTTTTTGCCATCCAGTGACATGAATTAGCCATGGATGTACATGTGTTCCCCATCCTGAACCTCCCTCCCCATCCCATCCCTCTGGGTCATCCAAGTGCACCAGCCCTGGGCACCCTGTCTCATGCATCAAACCTGGACTGGCGATCTATTTCACATATGATAATATACATGTTTCAATGCCATTCTCTCAATTCATCCCACCCTCGCCTTCTCCCACAGAGTCCTGGAGTTTTATGGATGTGGTGAACTTTCTTGTAAACTGTGCTCTTAACCTCTCCCTTAAGGGCAGTAAGGCCCAGGGTGTACTGTTAGGGTGTGATGAGAAAGAGCTTCTGTAGCACCTAATTGCACAATGTCTTCTAAAATTTGGCTGAAAGCAGCCCCAAGTCACCCAAGTACAGGAATTTTGTGGTCTAAAATATTATTGCCTCTTCCTCAGTCTAAGGTCTAAGTTTGAATTAATTTTCTAACTGCATCTAATTACATATACAGAGAGAAAAAAAAGCAGAATCTGTGGTAATTATTACACAATTGAAAGGCAGTGCTCTTGAAGAAGAATATGTATATTCAGGGAACTGCATGTGGTTTCTTCTAGAAGACAGAAGGACCTTGGGACTGTGGGGCTCTCTGAGTTTTGTTAAAAGTTTGATTTCTACAGGTCACCCGGCCTCTGATGTTAGAGGATAGGAGTAGAAGAAAGTTTCCAGTTCTTCACTGTGTGTCTGTTCATTGAAACCTCATGCAATCTCAATTCTCTGCCTTACAGTGTACTGCAAATTGTGAATCATAAGGAAGAAGATGAAAGAATTTTTTTTGACAAGAACTCGATGTTCCTTAAATGGTATTTGTTTCATTTGTAAAACATTTTTGTTATTTCCCTACATTATTGGGGCTCTGCCATGATTGTGCTATAAGTGATACTGTGACCACAGAAATGATGTATACATAATTTTTGTTTCTTAATGATACTATTACCTTAGAGAGGAAGTGTGGAGAGTAAGATTCTCATGATCAAGTCATAAAATGTGTGTGCTCAGTCATATCTGGTTCTTTGCCACCCCATGGACTATACCCCACCAGACTCTTCTGTCCATGGGATTTTTTCAGGCACGGGCACTGGAGTAGCTTGCCATTGCCTCCCCCAGGGGATTTTCCTGATCCAGGGATTGAACCCCCATCTCCTGCATTGGCAGGCAAATTCTTTACCAGTGAGCCACCTGGTTACATAAGGTCCCAAATTGCCAACAGAATCATATATAATATTCCTACTAGTAATGTGTGATTGTCTGTGCTGTCAGTCTCAGGCATCTTATTTGGCACACATTTTGGGTGTTTTAGGACTCACTGGTCTTTGAGGATGTAGCTGTGAACTTCACCTGGGAGGAGTGGGTTTCACTAGATTCCTCACAGAAGAAACTCTACAGAGATGTTATGTTGGAAAACTTCAGAAACATTGTCTCGGTAGGTAAGAATGAAGAAATTACCTCCATTCGTCAGTTAGAGAACAAGTGTTTTTTACCTGTCTGTGCTGTTCAAAGATGTAGAATGTGGAAAGGAAGGACACTGGTTAAGAATGTGGGGGTAGGGGGAAGGGCATTCTCAATGGTTCAGTGGTTAGGACTCGGAGTATTCAGTGCCATTCCTCAGCTTCAGTACCTGGTCAGAGAATTAATACCCAAAAAACTGCACAGCACAGAGGAAAATAAAAATAAAGCAAGAAAGAAACAGAAACTGGCCTGTGTCAGAGCTCATCATGGACCTAAAATTCAGTAATTGTTCTGTAATTTCTAATACTTTGGGATCATTATTCTGGGTTTGCATTTCAGAAGCAGAATGGAAACATCATGGCATTGAAAGTCAGTCCAGAAACCAGGGGAGTAAATTAAGGTGAGTCATACTCAAAATTAAAAGCATTTCTCATATGAGAATTGTGGTCTACTGTGAAAATTTTAAAAGAGGTAAGCAAAACAAATAGTCCCATTTTCAAATATAGTTATTTTTTGAAAATATCTACCAAAAATGTTTTCTTAAAAGTAATAGTAATATTCAGTGTTTGCAATATAGTTCATGTGCAATCAGTATTCATAAAGCCTATATTTGATTATCACTTTTTAATTGAAAGGTTGGTTGAATTTCCATTGTACAGCATTCAGTATATTCAACTTGTACCAAGTCACACAAGATAGAAAATTTCACTATTCCTATAAATTCAGTAAATGGAAAATAATAAAGAAATAATTAACAATGTTTTCTCATGATTTACAGAAGTCCTATGATAGAATCTCTGAAAAGAAAGATATTAATTCCTGTGGAGAAAGCACCAAACTTCTTCTAACTCCCAATGTAAAGAGAACTCTTGATTTAAAACCATGGGAATGCAGAGCATGTGGAAAGTCTTCATGTATTATTCATCCCTTACTAGATACATGAAATATCATGCTGAAAACAGACCAGGAGAGCATCAAAAGTACCACGAGAAGGTATATAAATGTCAAGAATGTGGGTTAGCATTCATTCATCCTAGTTCTCTTAAAACACATGAAAGGAGACATGCAGGGGAGAAAACCTATGAATGTCAGATATGTGAGAAAGTATTCATTTATTCCAGTTATCTTCAGATGCATGAAAGCACTCATAAGGGAGATAAACCCTATCAATGTAAACAAAATAGAAGAAGCTTTGAAAGTCTTGAAACTGTTGAAATACCTGGAAGAATTCAAGAGAAGAAACCCTATGAATGTAAACAGTGTGGTAAAGCCTTCAAACATTTCAGATCCTTCCAGGGACAGAAAAGACATCACACCGGAGAGGGTATGTATCATGCATACACAGGGTATGTATGTAAAACATGTTCTAAAGTATTCGATAATGCCTGGTCTCTTAGAGATCATCAACGAATTCACACTGGAGTAAAACCCTACAAGTGTAGGAATGTGGGAAAGCCTTCACATTGAAAAAAACCCTTAAGCAACACGTGATAACACACACACTGGAGATGGACCTTATAAATGTAAAGAACGTAAGAGAGTTTTCATTGATCGCAGTTTTCTTAAAATACATGAAAGAGTCACACTGGAGAGAAACCCTATGAATGTGAACAGTGTGGAAAAGTCTTTTGATATCAAAAATCCTTCCAACAACACAAAAGAATGCATATAGGTGAGAAACCCTATGAATGTAAAGAATGTGGGAAAACCTTCACTTGGCATATAACTTCAAAAATCCATGGTAACACACACTGGAGATCTACCTTATAAATGTCAGAAATGTGAGAAAGCATTTCTTTATCCCAGTTTTCTTTGAATACATGAAAGGAGTCACACTGGAAAGAAACTGTATGAATGTAAAGAATGTGGGAAAAGCTTCCTGTGATATTCAGCTTTTTGAAAACATGGTAACGCACTCTGGATATTTACCAAATAAATGTCAGAAATGTGAGAAAGCATTTTTTTATCCCAGTCATCTTTGAATGCATGAAAGTATTCACAATGGAGAGAAGCCCTATCAGTGTAAACAATGTGGAAAAACCTTTAAATGTCCTAAAAGTGTCCGAATACATGAAAGAATTCACAGAGGCGATAAATGCTATGAATGTAAGTGATGTGGTAAAGTCTTCAATTATTTCAATGACTCCCAGGTCCACAAAAGACATCATACAGGAGAGACACCATGTGTATGTAAAACATGTTCTAAAGTATTGAGTAGTGCCTGCCCTCTTAAAAACCATGAAAGAATCCACACTGGAGAAAAACCCTATAAATGTAAGAAATGTGAGAAATTCTTTACAGTGAATATAACTTTTCAGCAACACATGATAACACACACTAGAGGTGGACCTTATAAATATAAAGAATGTGAGAGAACATCATTAATCCCAGTTCTCTTAAAATACATGAAAGTAGTCACACTGTAGGGAAACCATATGAATGTCACCAATATGGTAAAACTTTTAGAACTCCAAATGTCTTGAAAGTTCACGAAAGAATCCATAGTAGAGAAAAACCTTAAGAATGTTAAATGTGTAGGAAAATCTTCCACTTATGTTCAAGTAGATGAAAGAATTCACACTGGATAGAAACACTATGAATGACAGGAATGTGGGAAATCTTCCTTTTTTCCTCTCAATCATCCAAAGACAAAGTACTCACCAGACAGAAATCATATAAAGTGTGAAAAATGTGGGAAGTACTTTTCTGATCTTAGTAGTGTATGAAACCATAAAAGGATTTACTAGATACACCTTTGTAAACAGCCAGGGAAACAATTCAGGTGGCCATTAATACATGTGAAAACTCCCACGGAGAGGAAATGTAAGTAACATGAGAAACTTGATGGAAAGCAATCCATGCATAATGTTGAAGAAAACCTTCAACATGAAAGATTTTGTTTTTATTTATAATAATAATTATTTATTTTCTGGCCATGCTGTGTGGCATGAGGGTTCTTAATTCCCTGAGCAGGGATTAAACCCATGCCCACTGCAGTGGAAGCTTGGAGTCTAAACCACTGGTTAGCAAGTGTCGTCCTGAGTTGTTTTTATTTTTTTTCTGAGTTGTTTTTAAAGTTTACAGGGACTGGGACTGGGACTTCCCTGGTGGTCCAGTGGTTAAGGGCTTTCTGGGTGGCTCAGTGGTAAAGAATCTGCCTATAATGCAGGAGACCCAGGTTCGATCCCTGGATTAGGATGATCCCCTGGAGGAAGGCATGGCAACCAACTCCAGTATTCTTGCCTGGAGAATCTCCATTAACAGAGGAGCCTGGTGGGCTACACCCCATTGGGTCACACAGAATCAGACACAACTGAGCAACCAAGAAGCAGCAGCAGCCTATGGTTAAGAATCCGCCTTCTTATAAGCTTCACTTTGGCTTATAATCTAACACTACTTTTTATTGATTTTGCGGCTCAGACTGTTACAGATTTGGCCACTGGAAGTGCTTTCAGTTGGTTCCTATGTCCTTCAGGCATATCAGTATCATTGTTATGTTTCATTTTGCTTTGTTTTTAAGCACTTCCTTATTATCTGGCACTGTAAGATGCTCCAGATCCATCCAGCATATTTCCTTACTCAACACTAGAATTGCTCCAAGGAGCCCTTTCATTGGATAATGGTATTAGAAATCACAGGGCACTAGTGCACTCATTGCTACTGGAAGGGGTAATATCTTTTAGGTCAACTGACACAGCAGAGTTGTATGTATGTATGTACTCTAAACTTATATACATATAACTGCATAGATTTCTAAGTTTACACATCTGTGCCTATGTTAAATTGAATATGAGTTTACACTGAAAAAAAAAAAAGAATCTGCCTTCCAGTGGTGGGGGACTGCCTTCCAGTCCCAGTCCCAGTCCCTTTATTTGGGATACTAAGATGCCACATGCCGCCAGGCAACTAAGGCCCTATGCTACAACTACTGAGGTGATGTGTTCTGGAGTCAGTGTTAAAGAAGTTTACAGGAGCTTCCCTGGTGGTCCAGCAGTTTGAATTCCACAACACAGAGAAACTGAGTTTGATACCTGCTCAGGGAAATAGACACTACATGCCTAAACTAAAAAAAAAAGAAAAAACAAACCCTGTATGCTGCAATGAAAATTGTGAGTGCCACAACTAAGACACAGCTCAAAGGGGGTTGGAGGGGGTGGGGGGAGTTTTATTACTATATTGTGATTTTAAAGATCTTTCTTCAAGCATGTCTTTAAATTATAGATTCCTACTAATTTCAGAAACAAGTATTAATGTTAGGTAATTCTGTAAGCTGTCTTTCAGCAATAGTACAGCAGAGTTGTATGTATGTATGTACTCTAAACTTATATACATATAACTGCATAGATTTCTAAGTTTACACATCTGTGCCTATGTTAAATTGAATATGAGTTTACACTGAAAAAAAAAAAAGAATCTGCCTTCCAGTGGTGGGGGACTGCCTTCCAGTCCCAGTCCCAGTCCCTTTATTTGGGATACTAAGATGCCACATGCCGCCAGGCAACTAAGGCCCTATGCTACAACTACTGAGGTGATGTGTTCTGGAGTCAGTGTTAAAGAAGTTTACAGGAGCTTCCCTGGTGGTCCAGCAGTTTGAATTCCACAACACAGAGAAACTGAGTTTGATACCTGCTCAGGGAAATAGACACTACATGCCTAAACTAAAAAAAAAAGAAAAAACAAACCCTGTATGCTGCAATGAAAATTGTAAGTGCCACAAATAAGACACAGCTCAAAGGGGGTTGGAGGGGGTGGGGGGAGTTTTATTACTATATTGTGATTTTAAAGATCTTTCTTCAAGCATGTCTTTAAATTATAGATTCCTACTAATTTCAGAAACAAGTATTAATGTTAGATAATTCTGTAAGCTGTCTTTCAGCAATAGTACATAAGGTTTAAAGGTAGTAATTTGTCCTTTAATCAGTTAGTAATTTTTTCTCTCACATTTGAACCCTATTGGAGTCATGGATGAATTTAAATGTATTTCTAGTATGCAGTGAGGCTTAAATTTTTATAATGTTCTATTCATTCTCTGTTAATGGGCCATTGAAACATGGCCGTTTGATATTTGTAGGGATTTTCCTAGTAGTATATGTGGCAGTTCCTAGATATTTATAATTACATATATGCTTTTTACTGAGAAAGATCCCTTTTGGTGGTGGTGCATATAGGAGCCTTTTGCCATTTTCCATTCTATTAATTACTTGGAATAAATGTTATGTATGACTGGGTGTCAAAGAGTATACTGTTATGTAAATTGTGATTTTTCCTATTTCCTTTCGTGTTTCCTTCTGACTGGTATTTGTTGAATAGACTATGGGACTTGTGATAATACACAAAATGTAGAGTTGGAGATACATTGCCTCTGAGTAGTATTAGGACCTGGACTTTCCAGAATCTATCCCCTTTGTGGTTCCATATTAGCATTCACCAGTAGCTCACTTGTGTGTGATTTAAAACCAGATGCAAAGAGGACATTCTTCAGATATTGGAGCTCCCACACTGGGAGAGAGACAGATACATAAGAGCTTCAAGGACACCATCTTCCATCAAGATTATATGTCTTTATAGTCAAGAATTGGAGAAGGAAATGGCAACCCACTCCAGTATTCTTGCCTAGAGAATCCCGTGGCCAGAGGAGCCTGGTGGGCTGCTGTCCATAGGGTTGCATAGAGTCGGGCACGACTGAAGCAACTTAGCATGCATGCATGCGTTGGAGAAGGAAATGGCAACCCACTCCAGTATTCTTGCCTGGAGAATCCCAGGGAGAGGAGCCTGGTGGGCTTCTGTCCATGGGGTCACACAGAGTCGGACACGACTGAAGTGACTCAGCAGCAGCAGCAGCAGTCAAGAGTAGCTTCAACACCAGCAACCAATATTTGATTTCCATTCATAAAGAAGTATAGTTTCCCCTGATGTCTTCACAGCTTCCACATCAAAGATCCAGCTGAGTCTGAATTTCTGTAAGGCCTCTTGTGTCTACTATGACAATATTTCAGTGCTTTATGGTTGGGAATACTCTCGGATACTACTCTTCTCTGGATTATGTCCTTGTTTCTCTCCTGCATATCAGTTTCTTCTCCAGTGCATTGTGCAGGGCCATCCTTGACCCATTGTTTCCTTGTGAAAAGCACCTTCCTTCTGTCAGGAAGACTGTGGCTGTTTCCAATTACTTGTAGTTGAACATAATCCTTCAATGTGTTTTTTTAATTGTATTTTATTTTCTATGACTAAAACTGAATTTTTTTCTGAAGCAGTCATTTTTGTACTCGTTTCAAATACTTTACCAACTATTTTTTGAAGCATTTGTTAGATAACACATTTTGTTTTTCATTACCTCAAAGAATAAATTACCCATTTTATTTATGAATATTCTGAAATCCTTGCAGTTTTCTTCATTAATTATTATACAATATCAGTCAGTTATATCCTGTAAAGAGGATGTCAGCTACATTATCCTTAGACCAATTTCTTAAAAATTTAGTCACTGTTTTTGTCAAAAAAATAATTTCGTACTCATTCTTATCTGCAACAGTTAAATCATAGGTATTATCAGTGCGGTCTTACCAGTTATTCATAAGATCACATCTCTAGTCAACTACTGGGATGAAATCAATTCCATTAAGAATGATTACAGGTAAATAAGGTCCTACCATATAGCACAGGAAACTGTTCAATATCCTGTAATAAATTATAATGGAGAAAATATTTTTAAAGTGTATATACAATGCATAACTGAATCACTGTACAGCAAAATTAATGCAATATTATAAATCAACCATATTTCAACAAAAAAGTTTTTTTAAAGAATGATCTTCATTTCTCATTGGGAAACTAAGATCCCCCATGCTGCAAGGTGCAGCCAAATAAGTTTTTTAAAAATTGGGGGGGAGGGACTTCCCTAGTTGTCCAGTGGTTAAGTGGTTAAGACTCCATGTTCCTAATGCAGGGGGCCTGAGTTCATTCCCTGGTCAAGGAACTGGATCCCTTTTTAAAAAAAAAAAATGAGAGAGAATCAGCTATACACCAATACAAAATTAAAAGTTTAAAGTTTGGGAAAAGAATAAAAAATAAAATGGGGAGGGGGGCTTTCTTGACTCCTTGGCTAGGACAGGGGTATTTGTTTATAGACACGTTAGGCATGGTGGGTAAGGATGTGCTGCAACTGCTGAAATCTGTGTGCCCGCGAGACCGTGCTCTGCACTAAGAGAAGCTACTGCAATGAAGTGTG